GCTGAGCGATGGAGTGTGTGTGCTCGCGCCAGCCAGCCAACGAGCGTCGTCGTGCACATGAGTGAGAGAATACATAAAATATCGGCCTGAGTACGTTCGTTGACCCAAGGTTTATAGCGGTAAATTTTTGTCGAGAGTTTAACGTACTACCTATATATTTTCTGTTGGATGCGCGAGAGTGAAGAGAAGTCAAGAATAATAAACATTCACTCATACATACAAATACACATACACATACACATACGAACACATTGAGGCTCAAGCCCACGTATGTGTGAACACCAATGATGTTATACGTTGTTCGCGATCGGTACCTGATGAATTAGTTCTTACCGTCACACTCGCTAGCTGTTCTTGTCGTTATTCGCCGTTCTCGCTTTGTTCGTCGTAGTCTTTTGACCAATTTCTTTGCCTTGCTTTGCTCGACTCGGCTCTGCCTGCACTCGCATGTATCAACAATACGTTTCATATTCTCTTGATTATGTTACGTGCTTCGTATCATTTGCATATACTCTTTTCGCTTTATCATCTTCCATACATTTGGATGGAGGACCATCAAATCCATTTCTTTTTCGTTGGTTCGTTCGTTCCGCTCTCTTGCTCCGTGCATCACCTTGTTGATCTCTTGTTATTCATAATACTGTTTATTATCTGTCATATAAACATTTCACTGTCGCACCACAACAAATGGAACTCACCCAATGCCTATATTCAATGCTTTTAATTGACACATATATGTTTTTGTGTGAAAAGAAACTTACGTATGAAAAATACGAAAATGTACTTCCGATAGCGAAAGGTCAAATTGCAAAATGGACTCTTAGCGAAAAGGCTCAGGTAACGCCCGAAAACCATTGAACCAAGTGAAATTAAAATGCCACATTTTGATGTCGTTTTATGGTATGATTCTGATGAATTGCATATTGAGGCTTATATTTTCACTTTGATCGCAAAGATATTTCAGCCAGATAAATTGTCGTTGGTTTTGTGCTTTTTTCTGGTTTGAAATTGTTTATTTTACTTTGTGTTTGTAACGCGATTATTCACTTGCAATAAACGATACTCAGAATATTCCTGTCGGATTCCGTTGGTATGTTGTGTGTGAAATGCGAGAAAAGAATGAAGGAGAAAAACACCAGGAGCTACCTTCTGGTCTTGAATTTGTTGCATATTTCCTCTTCTTTTTTCTTCATTTTACAGTTAGCACAATTCCATTCATTCATCTCGGATTAATCAGAAAATTCAGTTCTCAGCATTTTATTATTCATTTATGATCGGTTTTTATTTTCGAACACTCTTCCGAGAGATCTTTCCCAAACACACGCATAAACACACACGGCAGAGCAGCAGATCAAAAGGATATTTAACTGATTTTTGCATATTTTCAACTGTTGTTCAATGGAATCGCGTAAGATGATCAACGTGTAATTCAAGCCAAAAAAAAAGAACCAAATAAAAATGATTTACCAATTTAACACTTTTTCGTTGTAAGCTCCAGCCGAAATGGTAATTTAGTGGGTGTGAATAATTTTGCATATAAAATTCAACAAACCGTCACATGTTGCAAGTGGATGGAAATATTGAATGGATTAAACAATATGATGCTCAAAAACTACTGGCATTTTTATTGCTTCGTCAGACTAAATGGAGCTGCGAAATGATATAGTTGCAGGCACGAAAATAATATTATTTAGAAAAAATGAACGACAAGATTGTGTTTATGGAAATGGTTTATTGAATTGATGCTATTTCACATGTGTTCGAACGAATGAACAAACGAAAGATTGCAGTAGTGGCAACGCACCCTGATAAACGGCACCAGTGAAGAGCGGCGAACCTTGAGTGCGAAGGAGCATTGTTGGCATTTTCATTTGGTTCACCAAATCGCATGGAATTTAATACACTGCGCATGTAATCACCTCTCTACTGCCACATGGATTGGCCAACGTTGAAGAACTCAACCAGCAACGGGGCGGTTCGAATCATGTCATCAAATTAATGATATGAAAAAAAAAACAAGAAGATTTCGTTTTTTGATACAATTTTCCATGGTTTTCTATTTAAGTATGACTGTTTTTCTCATGGACAACATCTAACAGAAGGGATACAATGAGGAAACATCATGAAATTGAACTAAATAGCCAAACGCACCGAGCATATATAAAGGATGTCTTCTCCGGGACAATCAAACAGTTGGATTTTCTCTGTTTCCGCGTGTTGACCATACGAGTTTCTCCTTTTTTGATTTATTTTTCAAAATCAAGCCACATCTTAACAGACATTTCAAGAATTCTCAATTAGAATTTATTTTATTATTAACAAAATACCTAGAATTCGTTTTATTATTGATTAATACAAAAAATGAATTTTTATTTCATAACTCTGTTTGTGAAGTGAAAAGTACAATCAACACTCACCCAAGCGTAAGTAATTTCATTGAATTTTATTTTTAAAAAAAGGTCCAAATTGTGTACATAATTGAAATTAAAATCTCAACTTGTCACAAAACTGTATTAAATTATATTCTATTTCGCATCTTTTCTTGGAAAAATGACGTGAACAAAAATTATGACACATTTTTTGAGCAAACTAACTTTTCTTCCGAATATTTGTGATTTCTAAGAAATATTTCATGTCATATGACCAAGCAGAAAATTTCCGCATCAATTTATGCGACGTTACGACATTCTGACGTATATCAGAAAAGGATGTCCAAATCAAAGAATTCATGTTCGAATCGGTTTAGCTGGAAATGTTTTCCTTTTTGCGAGATTTATCATCATAAATCAAAAGAGTTCATTGTTTGGCGTCAACACAAACATTGTGTGACGTTGAAGATGTTTGGCATGTCTAATCACCTAAAGTGTGAATTTGAAAAAAAAAATCTTTTATTAGCAACTTGTGAATTATTTGACTGCTTCGAACTCACTTCGGGTTACGGTGTGAGTAACCGACCAAAGAAGTGACATCACATACTCGATTGATGTGCGCACCCAAACTGAGTCAATGTACAACCGCATTTCGTTTAGTTAAGAAATTCTTTTGCATGAAAGGGAGCTATTATGAGATCATGATCGTGGTGTTACAACGCGAGAACTTTCTTCGAACACACACACACACACACACACACAAAATATTTATTTAATTCACAAGCGAAGCTATTTTTCAAGTATTAGCATTGAAATGATCATTTACCAATTAACATAGGTACTGATTTATGTATATAAAGATTTGAATATAAAAAAAAGAAAAAAAAACCAATTACCACAACAAATCGAACTAAGAAAGGACCTCAAGTGAAACTTAATAAATAAGGGATAAAAAAAAACGAAGGTGAATTGAAAAATACACAAAAAAGCAAAATTAAAATAAAACGAAGTATTAAAGAGGAAGAAAAGATAAAAAAAACCAACAAACAATAAAAAAAGGAAATATGAAAACAAACAGATAAAAGACATCAAATATGATTGTCTCATTTTTGGTTACAAAATATTTTTTTAATGCGAACTGGTCAAACATACACGACTTCAACATACAAAATTAATGAAAACTATAGGTTAATAAGAAAACGTAACAATTCCTCCATCATGCAACAATTATCTTTTTATGTGAGTGCGATAGGGCCCACTAATCATACTAACTTTAAAATGTATAAAACGAAAATGGGTTTTTTGTGTGGTTTCCCCAATAATTGCCCACACAGAGATAATTGAATAAATAAATAAATAAATAAATTATAATCAAAAACAAACAAAAAATGATCCAATCAAATTTACTATTTAGAATATATGATGGACGCCCAACAATGCGAATCACGTCAAGTAGTTTTTTTTTTGGCAGCATTTTTGGTCATTTGCCAAATGTGATAAAGTAGTGCTTTGCATGAAATTCTTTTTTTTCTCCGTTTTATTCAAATTAACGTACAATGTCTGGTGTTATTGAACTTTTTACATTGGCTGTCTGTCGAATAGTTGAGTACAGCAGGCAGTACAGGAACATATAAGCATCTCAAGTCTATTTATTTTATGATATGATTTTCATAAAAGACTTTCAACTCCATCAAATGTCTCTTTTTCAACGGGATTTTGATTTTAAATTACTCACGCACAAAGAAATATGGTTGAAGGATTGGACAAATTGACACCAGATATTCAGTTCAAGTGATGATTCATATTCCATGCTCCATTCGAATAAAACTGAAAAATACACACGCGTTTATATACCAAAAGTATGTGTAAAGTGAGTTGAAATATTTGCCATATTCAAAATAAAAATGAAAAAAAGCGTTAAGAGACACTTTATTTCGAGTTACATTTTTTTTTTGAAATGATAGAAATTCGGCTGTGAAGATTAAATTGGCTTTCAAAAATGTTCGAACTAGAAAGAATTCTTTCTTGGACAAATCTGCAATAACAATTTGTCCCCAAAAAATATAAATGCACGTTTGAAGTTGATGATGAAAGTTGTAGTAAAATGGCAACTAAGTTAAATTCCACTAGAAAAATGCGGCCAAAATGGTTCATGGGTGCCTTGTCACATGGATAAATTATGTGATTCATATCACAAGAATGTATTGGATCATATTCACAATTTTATCAATCATCTCCGTTTGTATTATTTATTTTTTTATCAATCATGGAAATTGAATTCAAACAAGTCAGTCTTTGGCGGTGTATTATTATTCATCGTGTATCAAAATCATTGCAACATCGTATGCAAAATACCACGAAAAACAAAAGTGCGTCTCTTCAATGTTCGCGTACATTCTATAAAAGGAAAATGCAATTTCTTTGAACTAAATAGAGCTTATCAGTGAATGTCGTTCAAATTCAAACGAAAAATCAGTCAGACTTCGTAGAATGGCTGGATTTTACGTGAAAATTGCATAATTTCACCGTTGTCCGTGTCTATTTATGGGGTTATTGAATAAATGAAGCCATACCAATGTTGAATTATCGATCTTGTTTCCAGTCCATTGCAACTGTCACACCTTTTGCACTAGTTAAAAATGGTAATGTGTTTCAGTTGCAAAAACAGGCAGAAGCAACGTGAATATTGCCAACGTCAAATAACAATTTTTAGTGCACAGACAAATATATAGAGAGAGAAAAAAAAGTCAATCTTTCTAGACGATTTCACGCGAAAATCTCAACGAAAAAACATGGTATTCACATCCGTTTGATAAGCAATGTTATCAGGCATAGTGTCAAGTGCATTCAATTTGTTATTAATTCGCAAGCGATCAAAAGCGACAATCATAAGCAATTGCACGCACGCAACAGCAACACACATATTTCAATTGATTCAGTGTTTAGTGTTTGTCTTATCTGATTGAATTGCATTGTGAATTTCAAATTAAGTGATCTAGCGTACGCGTGCGAGCGCTCACGCCCGCTCTCACAGTGCCAATAATCGAATGGGAATACGCACAGCGTTGTTTTGTAATTAATTCAGTTGTACGGAAATTGTTCTCGCTATTTTTTTGTGATTTGATTCTATTTTATCTTTGCATTGCAATCTCAATTACAGCGGTGCACAGTTCCAGAGCAACCTGATCCCACCCCGTGTGCGTTTACAATACGTGAGAGCACCGCCACGTCTGTACCAATCATATCGATTTTTAATCATAATCGCAAAAGATTATTAGCAGAGAACGTGAAGCGCAGACAAGCACAGAGGTGGACTGCAAAGGCAGGGGGACCGCAATCACCAAATCGAAATCAAGTAGAAACGAACGCGCGTTCGCATTAAAAATGAACTTCGATGAATACAGAAAACATGGTAAGCTCATTCTCAATCGGTTTTTTCTCATTATTATTATTGTTTCGATGATACGGTTGATATGATGATGTTGTTTGCACCACGACGACCACTTTGCGCTGTGTTGTGTTGTGATTTGGCTCATTCGGCCAGATTCTCTCTCTCTCTCAATAGGTAGAACAAGTTGTTGTCGATTTATGTCAGTATATAAAATTACAAAACGGTTTGACGTTGTCGCCAAAGCCATATATATGAATCGGTGTTCTTGTTTTTTTTCTCCTCCATTTTCCTCTTCTTCTTTTTTTTTTGTTTTGTTTTTTATTTTGTTCTTTTGTTTCACAACTTCTTGGAAGATGTGCAATCGCGTGATTTTTTCATTGCATTCAATCGAACCGAAACGTTTATATTCTGTTTTTGTGCTGTTGCTGTTGTTGTTGTTTGAAATCTTTCATTCCATGCAGTTGAAGTGTGGTGGATATTGTTGGACTGGTGGCAGAGAAAGAGCGAACGAGCGCAGTTGGTTGTGTATGCGAACGCGAACGCGAACGCGAACGGTATTTGTCTTTCATCTTTTCCAGTTATTCGCTCGTACTACAATGCGTAAACATGAATTTATGATGATCGTACATCGGGATTATGGGTTCGGTTGTCTGTTTGTTAAATTTATTGCGTTAATATATGCTAGAGAGGCTGTACGCGATGATGATAAAGTGAGAGAGAGAGAGAGACCGCCGCCAGATAATTGATGTTATGGCTGAGAGAAGCGATGAGAGACAGAGTCGAAGGAATCGAATGAAGAAATATGTTGTTCCAAAATGATGCATTTTTTAACAACATTGAGTCAAGTATGGACAACCATTTCTTTTGAACGAGTGTACTTTTGTGTGTTTGAGTGCGAGTGATTGTGTGTGAGGTGCAAATGCAATTCACCACATTATAGTTTATACTTTTAAGCCTGGTACAGGTTCAAGTTGTAAATCATTTTATGAGCTGTGAAATTTGATCAAGCGATTGATTTGCATGTAAATACCGTGTATTTATTCCGTACCGTTGGCTCGCGCGCCACCAAACCAAAACCATAAAGCTCTTCCGACTAAGAAGAAATCCGTGTGTGACACCGAATAATATAGACATTTGCATAGTTTTTCCACAAAGCACGAAGCGTCCATTTGAAATTGAGGTTTAAGTTTGTCGATGGTTAAACCCTCTTTTTTCTATTTACACACCAAAACATTTTATTAAACCATTAAACAACCAATAAAGCAAAACACACATGCACACATTGTGTACTTTGCGCTGGCTGTGGCGTCATGGCGATCATGTTGGGGCATGCATCTCATGAAAATGCTAACGATTTATTTATTCAAACGCAGACGAAAATTACCACAATAACCAACCGAACAAAAGAAGTCACAGATAACTCGCGCCCATTTCTTCCGCATTCATTTATGACGAAATCCAGTCGGCCTACGCAAAACTGACACGACGAAGAAAAAAAAAAACACACACACACAATGTTCCATTTAAATCTTTCTCACACAAGCACACTGCATTTGATTTTCTATTGAATTTTTCTTCTTCTTCTCCTTCTGGTTATCATTGAGCGTCCAATTCTCAATAAAATGCAGATGTACAACAACAAAAAATCCTCAGACGCAATTCGTTCCTATTAATTCTTCCAGAACAGAGAAAACGTACGGAAATCGTTTCCAAATGGCCATCATTCGCATTTCGCTCGGCTTAATGGATATTTAGTTGCAAATCCTCTTTACATCAAATGCAGTGGCAAACAATCGCCACGCGCAAATAAAGACATATAAATTTATAACTGCTTTTTGCCTCACTCATAAGCTCTATCTAACGTACATGTGTGTGTGCATGTGAGTGTGTGTGCTAGCTGACAGTTGTGTCCGGAGGGTAGCGTAAAATGCAAATGTGTATATATCAAAGCAAATTGTTGTGGATTTTTATTCAGATAATTTGCACCATCGCAAGTAGGTGGCAACTAACGATATGCAACATCCAAGCAAACGACCGGATGATAATAATAAACAATGGCATCGATGCTAGTTTAGTTGAAAATATTGTCGTTTTTTCTCTCCTTCTCTATTTCTCATGTTGATTCTATTAAACAACTGCGTGAAACTAGCAGCAGAAAGAACCAGTGGAAGAGGGAGATAGAGATTTCCTCCTAAATCAGGCATTTTATATGTCTCAATGAAATGCAAACGGAAAGGGTTGATCCGTTGAGCCGTTTTATGGTTTTTTGATCTAATTTAAAAAATTTCACTCAAACCAACCAGTCAGCCAGCCAGCAACGAGCAACACAAATGGTTTCACATGTTGTGATGAAACATTTGCCCCCATTCACAATGCACTGCATTTTATATTCTTTATTCTGGGCAAAGACAATTTCAAACATGATTATTTTGTTCGTACAAACTTTCCATCGAAAATGATACAAACTGGATTCACAATCAAAACGTATTTTATTTAATATAACTTGAATGTGTTCGAAACACGAGAACATTCGCAGATTTTGGACACTGAATTGCTACTGTTTCCGTTTCAGGCAAGGAAATGGTGGATTATATAGCCGATTACTTGGAAAATATTCGGGATCGTCGAGTTTTTCCAAATGTTCAGCCGGGCTATATGCGAAATCTATTGCCCGAGTCGGCACCGGTGGAGGGAGAGGAATGGGATCATATCTTTGCTGATATCGAACGGGTCATCATGCCAGGTATCACACATTGGCAAAGCCCACACATGCACGCTTACTTTCCGGCTCTGAATTCTGGACCATCTTTACTTGGCGATATGTTAGCTGATGCTATTAATTGCCTTGGCTTCACCTGGGTGAGTTGGATTTCAATCGAATTTTAGGTGTTGCATTTAAAGAATTAAATAGAATTGTGAAATTCCATAGAAATGAAATTCAAATTTGTAAAATTCCGAATTTTCATACTATTTCATCACATTTCTTCTTTTTTATTTCAATGAATAAAATGTGTTTCATCAATAGAACATTCATTGCGTTTCAAAAAATAATAATGAAATGGATTAATTGGCAGGCATCATCTCCGGCCTGTACCGAGCTTGAGACAATTGTAATGAATTGGCTGGGAAAAATGATTGGATTGCCCGATGATTTTCTGCATACAGGCGGCAAAAGCAAAGGTGGTGGTGTGATTCAAACGACGGCATCGGAATCGACGTTGGTGTGCTTATTAGCGGGTCGAACTCAGGCGATACGACGTTTTCACGAACGAACGCCTGGTCTTCAGGACTCCGAGATAAATGCTCGTCTGGTGGCATACTGTTCGGATCAATCACATTCAAGTGTTGAAAAGGCTGCTTTAATCGGTGCGTAAATCCTACCCAAAAATCTAATTCATTCATTCATTTTTGGTGAATTTCAATTATCTGTGATGCATTTGCACAGGTTTGGTACGAATGCGATTCATTGAATCGGATGAGAATTTGGCATTGCGTGGACCTGCTCTAGAAGAGGCTATTAAAGATGACATCAAACTTGGCTTAATTCCATTTTGGGTAAGTTGGCGAATGCACAGAAATTCGTCGGATTTAATTTTATTTTCTTAAAAGCGGAAAAATCAATGAGTTTCAATGCTGAAACTGCAGAAATAGCCGAAAGATTGAAAAAGAAACAACAACATGACAAATAAACAAATGGATTTGCCGTTGAATGTTAAGCCGATTCTGGGGCCGTAATTCCATTAATTATTCTAAGCTATAATCTAATTAACTAATTTTTCGCCAGCCATTGTAAAATGTGTGATGACGATGCCAAAAAAAAAACAGTACAGCAATCCAAGAGCGTGTGAGTGGAAGCGCGCGCGCGCTTGTTCACCCACTCGGTCGGCTCACTTTCAATTCCATTTGATTTATCTCTTGAACAGCCAGTTGCACTGAAATTGCATGGATCATTTCTCATAGGGATTGGCTATTTTCCATTTGCTGTCGTCACCGTCCTCGCGTCTTCTGTTCAACTTGGAATTTCATGCTGGAGCGAAGAAGCGAACATTTTAGAATTATCATATCTCTAACATTTCTTACCTACTGATTTACTGACTTTGCATCGCGCGCACTTCACGATTCCATTCATTAAGAAGAAAAAGCAAACTGAGAACGCGCGCATGGTTTTATACATCCATGTGGGTCCCATTACTCGGTTCCCTTGTTGACAACAGCACATTAAAACGGCCACATGTGTCCGTTTAAGCAATGCGCGCTCGTCTTCCCCCGCTCTCTCTCTCTCTCGCTCTCTCTCTCTCTCTCTCTCTCTCTCTCTCTCTCTCTCTCTCTCTCTCT